CCATCTTGCTTCTCCCAAATTGTGTATTCAACCTCTTCATGGCCGTGTTCCGTAAGTATAGGAGCAAGGTGTAGAACAAACAGATCTTTACTGCAATGCTCACAATTTCTTCCACGCATTTCTTACTGTGGAATGGGACTCCCGTCATCTTTGTCACAGAGTGTTAAATTTTACAGCATGGTATCGGTCAATCAATTTGCATTCTGCCATGTTGACCTTGTTTGCGAAGTCGTTTGAGTGCTTTGATTTTTCAAGTCTACATTCGTACAGTATTCGCAAGACAACTATACCAGGGCTGCTTGTTACACGTTTGGATGTTGTGAGGAACTTTCTTTGCGAAAGTTGAGAATCCTAGACTACCCCCAGATTCCTTTGTTAAACAAAAAAAAGTCGGTGTATACAGATTCAATGGCGGTCTAGGATTTTTCTTCCTTCCCTTCCCGTTCTTTCTTTCTAATTTGATTTCTGTCCGGGACCGGGATACTGATATTTTGAAAGAAGTTGTGTACATCTTTCTCCACATTCTCATCCAGTCTTGATTTCGTGGTTTATCAGTGATTCGGGCTAAGACTGGATGGGTGCACTCCCAGGTTCAACGAGGTGGTTTTTAGCATTTTATACTTTTTCATCACCTTCAGTGCAGAGTAGGGACTTTTTCACCTTCTTATTCTGAGCTTGTCTTTAGAATCTCTATGATTTCTCTTATTGCATTTTGTCCTTTTCTCTGTAGAAATTACTCCTCTCTCCTCCAATGCTTGCCTCTTTATTTTTGGTGATTCTGTGATGATATACTGCACAGTTTCAGCAAATTTTCTGGGTTTTTGGCAGTTTTGCTCTTTGGGCAGCTTTTTCTCACAGCACTTAGTGACATTGTGCTTTCTGTTCCACACTGTTCTTCTTCAGTAGTGTTTTTTTATTTCGAACATATGCTCTGTCCTTTTCTTTCTTTCTCCTGATTTTTTGAGATGATCTTTTCGCCCTGCTTTCGCGCTGTTTTCTCTCTCCAATATCTCTTTGTTTTTCTGTCTCCTTTCTTGTCAAATATTTTTCTTTTAGGCTCCCTCATGTTTCCTGACTGCAATCAAATAGGCAAAATATATAAACAGATAATTTACAAATCACTGTTATGCATAGAATGGATGTGCCTTAATGTATCTTTGCACTGTGATAGCCGGCTGGTCCTAAAAGAATTGTTTGGAGTTATCACGTTAACAAAAAAATGTGCACGGACGGACACACGGACAGAGCCCATTTCACAGCTCCCGCCCCAGCACCTTCAAATGACGACGGGAGCTGAAAATTTATTACTTTGATTAAACCGATGATAGATGTTCATATAATTGATTGTAAATGCTCATAATCGGGTCTTCTGTGAAATAAACAAGTTTCATATTACCTAGACTTTTTCTCCGCTCTTGAAACTTTCTCTGTCTCTCTCTGTTTCAGCTCGCATTTTTCTCTTTCAAATCATCACTAAGGGGTTTCAGTCTAGAAATCCTTTTTCTAAGAGCATCCACTGTCTTGAAGTCTATAAACGCTGAGATATTTTTTTTCATGCTATCCCCTCCATCTGAAAAGTACAACTTTCACATTAAAAATTAAATACAAAATGGAAAATTTTATACATGTTTTAAATAAAATTTTACCGACCTACTATGGGAATAACAAAATGTCAGGGCAACCAATAGTCCAGTGCTAATGTGCATTACATGAGGATGAATAATGATTTATGCCATATAAATCCTGTTCTTCCACACAAATTTTATATCAACTGAAATATGCATACCTTTGTGACCGTTCTGCTCGGTTAATTTCGTTCGATTCTCTGGCATCGCTTTGCTTTAGCCATATCATCGGTCGCAACCATTCTACTAGTAGAAAACAATGAAGACATGCCTGAAAGTTTTGTTCCAAACACTCTGTGTCAAATGTAACATCCATAACAATAAAAAAAATCAAAAATAACATCCATGACTACTGATAGTAATTCTTATTTTATCAGGAGTACTTGCAAAATCATACTTAGGCCAACTCAATTTCTTCAAAAACTATGTAATTAATTGTTAATCATACTGCCTCTCATAATATTTCAGCTTGAGATATTATACAATCGGTTTTGGATGTTACACATTCATGTAGAAAAACGTCCACAGTCACATCCACAACATTGTCCTTGTGTCAAACCATAACATCCAACACATGACAGGATTTGAAAGATATTTGGTGACAGAATAGACTAGGCCTAAACTCGAATATTACTGTGTTCATTTACTGATAAAATGCTATGATCCTAAATACTAGGGAATGCATCGTAGTTTGATATTCTAGTTATTAATTAATTACAACTCTTAAGAGTGCGGACGGTTTTACGTTCATATGAACACGCTGGACTTATGTCTAATAATTAGTAAATCCAAAACCCACCGATTATGTGAGATACAAAACGTCATAAGGTAATCATCCATTTTTACTGCGTTTCATTAATACGACCGTCGGGCAGGCTGCGTCAATATACGGGCTTTTCAATGTCCATTTCTAACGATTCAAGTCCTAGTTTGTTATTGTTTTGCAATTATGCACAATGTTACCATGGTATATCACTATTGAATCTCTTTTATCAAGACACAGTCATGATAAGGTTTATCGGATGTTACAGTATCCTGCATTTTGTTTGACCGATAACACTTACCGACATCTTCTCCCGCCGATGGTTGAGCTTTGTACACAAAAACTGATGACGCGTTCGCGGACGAGTCTAAACAACCATTAAGGGGTGTTCGATATGGTTACAATGCGTAAAATTGAAGTATTCAAACGAAGGATATCGTTTTGGACGTATACAAATTCGACCAGACATTATTCATTTTGTAGGAAAGCTTGCGGATATAGCTTTTTGGTTGTGAAACTCTACACTCACTTTAATTTTACTGAAGCGCTTAATATTTATACATCAGACAGCATCCTAACACCCTCTTACCATAGATTCAATGTAGGCTGCTTGCCCATGCTTTGCTTTGTCTAAAAATAGATCGTAAGTCTGGAACAAAGTTTGACCGCACACCGTCGCCTCCTAGTAACCAGTCTCCGTACGCAAAATTTTAACAATATTACGCTAATTAAACTCAATTCTTTTTAGTTCAGCTTTTCTGGTCTTTGCCAGATGCCTAATTATATTGTTTTTATTATTTAATGTTTAGGTCACCATAACTTACGGTCTTCATAGATACTATTGGATCCCAGATACAAAACAATTCTTGTATTTATTTTATGATGTCAAACATGTCTCAAATGGTTCGCCTGGTCCAAAACTAACCGTCTTTTCATTTCAAAAAAGTGTACATTTTATTTAATTTCTGACCATATCACCATATAACTATCTCTTTTAAGTATTCCTACTAAGTCATAAGAAAACCAGATCCACTGTAACACACGAACATGTCAAATATACTTTGGTCATTGCTAAACTTATTTATCATCAATAGTTCCACAAGTGGCACTGAATTGTACATGAACTAACTGAGAACTGGCCTATATATACTATATTAATTATAATATCTAATATATCTGAGGTATATTATAATACTAAGCTCCTGTCCGATTTGGCGCATGAAGCTCCCGCCACAAGAACGCTTACTTATCGACCTCCCTCTGCCCAGAGACCATCTACCGAGATACTTGCACTCGATATGCAATGTCCATCACCCTTTCCAAGTCTAAAATATGAAACATCATATGTCAGAGGAGACCAGAGACGCAGAGAGAGGAGGAGGGAGATGAGGATGCAGATCCGGACGAGAGAGAGAGTCCCCTAACCGTTCACCTCGGAATATTAAAACTTATTCTCTTGAGGCCCATGTCCTTTTATCCATATGTGACAGCTTGGCTTATTGGTATACTTGTTGTAGGATTTCCTGTTGCTATCTGCTTGTCATCAGGCATCTGTCGGTGTAGATGCTACACTTGTTGCAGAGCCTCAAGTCTATCATCCCCATCACCATCCTCTTTTCACCTGTTCGCGTACAATGACCCTGCGTCATTGACGGTATCAGATAAATGTAACCTGGCCTCGACTTGGCACATCGGTATATCTGAGGCTCCAGCGCGTCGCCAGTTAGTATATTTTTTAAATCCATTGAATTTCCGGCCACTCACGCTGAATCGGACGCAATCCAGCTTCACACATATTAATCTGCTCAATGGCATTCTAGTTTTTATTGCTGTAATTGGCCTCTAATGCGACTGACGTATGCCGCCGGTAATTGGTTAAACATTAGTGCCAATAGTCGTTTGAAGTTCGAGCCGATCGTGACGGATGTTGTTGGAACTGTTTCAAAACCAATCGACGAATCGATCCATGTTTCGACTGGAGTGTGTTCGGTTTAGATTTGTTAGTGTTGCCGCTGTACTTCCACGTATGTCCGGACACTGTCGGACATGCAACGGCTGATTTGCGTGTCCACGTCTTTGTTTTTGAAATGCACAAAGCCGGAAATGTATCCATACTGCCGATTTTGCAGATTTACTGTCTGACCAATGTCAAAAGCCGTCGTCTGCCATTTTGTGATACACTGCGAAGCGCACGTTCAATTCCGCGCTACATTAGTCAGGCTACTTAAGTAGCGTTGACTAGAGAGCTCGACAAGTGATGACGTCACACGGCTGGCATGACACAAACCCACTGGTTTCTAAAACAAATGATATGCTCTCGGCTTAACATTTAACTGCTGTGAAAATGGTGTCGTGGTTTTGTTACCGCCATTTGTCAAATTATGGCCTTGGTTTTCAAATTTCGACGATTTTCCATTTATATGTCCCAAATCAATCAGAAATACCCATTGGTACTAAAATATAAGGTGAAAAACTGTCCCATGCATGAAAGGGTCAATACAAATGACAATACAAATACAGAAACAATGAGCACATTATTAACAACCAAAAATGTATTTATTTGTAAGTCAAAATAAGTAATTAAATCAATCCATGTGTTTCAGACCAGAGCAATGGCAGAACATCATACAGGTGCCAACATTGCCAATGTTTTGTTGGAAGCAGTAGAAGAATGGAAACTCCCTTCCAGTCCACCCTTGGTGACGGACAATGCATCCAATATGGTCGTAGCAGCCAGAGAAATGGAGAGCGCAATCCACGTCGGATGTTTTGCTCACACCCTAAACTTGGCTTGTGGAAGTGCCCTGAAGATACCCACAGTGTCCAAGCTGTTGGCTAGAATGCGACGGATTGTGGCATTTTTCCACCGTAGTACAATTGCGACAGCTCTGCTGAAAGAGAAACAACAACTGTTGAACTTACCACAGCACAAGCTCATCATCAACGTTCAGACGAGGTGGAACTCTGCTGTAGATATGACTTGCCGCTTTCTGGAGCAGCAACCTGCAATTTTTGCTGCATTGACATCGAAGGACTTGAGAGGAAAAGAAAAGGATTTGTCCACTTTGAGCGAAGAAGATATCACGAATGCTGAGGAGCTGTTGTCTACCCTGACGCCATTGAAAACTGCTACAGTTGCATTGTGTGAGGAAAAGGTCCCCACTTTGTCCATTGTTCTGCCCTTGCAGAACCAGCTGTTGAGTCATGTGATGGTGGCACGTGAAGACGACTCCGGCTTCACAAGGAACATAAAGGCTGCAGTGTCCACGGATCTTTCTAAGCGATATCATGGAGTGAAAATGAAACTACTCATTGCCACTTTACCAGATCCACGATTTAAGTCCGTCCCGTTTTTGTCAGACGCTGAAAGAGTCGAGGCGTTTCAGTCACTGATCTTGCATGCTGCTGAATGGTTTGATGCTCAGTCTGGCCAGGTTACTGATCAAGCCCAGCCCACTGAAAACCAAAATGTTGCAGCCTCTGAGCCCACCCTGCCTGCTGATCACGAGTCTAATCTTGAGCCAGACTACAAAAAGATCAAAATGGATGCACAGGCTGATTAGAATGTAGGTGCTACAAAGCAGCCTAAAGCCACTGACCTTTCAAACCTGTTTGGGGATGTTTACCATGTCAGAGTTGAGGAAGCCAAAACTACCATGGAAATGACCGAAGAGGAGTTGACACGCTACAAGTCCGCACTACTAACAATTACAGCGTCTGATAATCCTTTGTTGTGGTGGCGAGAACACAGCTCTAGGTATCCAATCCTAGCTTGTCTTGCTAAAAAGTACTTGGTAATTCCAGCGACTTCTGTGCCATCAGAGAGAGTATTTAGCACGGCAGGAGATATTGTAACGGCCCAGTGATCAGCCCTACAGTACCAACATGTTGATGAACTGATCTTTCTGAAGAAAAATTGGCAAACAAAGTCTCTGCCGTGTGTTGTATGGACGTAGACAGACTCGTTTGTGTCCGTCGGTAAAAACATTGGTTACTGGACTTCTAAGGAGTTTAAGGTGTTGGATATGCTCATGATATTAAAGTTGCCGTAGTGCAGTGTGTTGATATGTCATGATATAAAGTTTGCCGTAGTGCAGTGTGTTGGATATGTCATGATATTAAAGTTTGCCGCAGTGCAGTGTGTTGGATATGTCATGATATTAAAGTTTGCTGTAGTGCAGTGTGTTGGATATGTCACGATAATAAAGAAAAAATGCATGCTAATAAAATAAATACACAAAACTTGTGTATTCCATGCGAAACAGAATATTTTTTAAATTAATATGTATTTACATATTTACACAATACTATTGCAATAGTCCTACAACTATCGCAATACTATCGTAATACTATTGCAATAGTATTTTAACTATTGCAATACTATCGCAATAGTAAAATTGACCCCAATAGTCACCACTACCGACCGGAATTGATGCCAACCATACCACCACCAGTTTGTGACCAGGTATGTAGGCCTACAATTGGATCTCTTTATTACAGTACGGTAACACTGATGTTGATATTATGGGTCTAGGACTATTCTACCCCCTGAAAATTGCTTCCCCCCCCCGAGGACAATTGCCCCTGACTCGAGGACAATTACCCCTAGACAACTGACCCTGGGGGGTTGTTGTCTGGGGAGGGGGTAGTTGTCCGGGGGGAATTATCATACTCCTGTTGATAGCCAAATAAACAAGAACAATTTCTTAAGTAGACATTCCGACAGTCAAAAGTAACCAATGGATAATTCTGTTCAGCCCCACACACATATATTGGGCATTTCATTCGTCTATATTTGCCGCCGGTTCATCACAGCTTGTCGTGTCTTCCACTGAGACAACTTCACTGTCAACACAACCCGTCTTGCCAACCACTGGATCATCTTTCGGTTCTTCAGATTCTCATCCAATGACAGCTACACGTAAACCGGTGAGTTGTTAGTAGGTTTTCACCCATCTGATGGGGAAATTCTGGACATTTTCATTCCAAAAAATCTTTTTCGACCGGTTGATAGTTTTTCATAACATTAACTCTTTAACGAACTGATGAAATTTATTTAAACTTAAAGTGTAAATAGAGACTCAACATTTTCTCTTCATCACCAATTCCATGGAAGTGTCATCATCAAACTCAAAAAATCAAATTGAAGGATATACACTGAAATTGTTTGATTCTTTTGATTTTTTGTAAAATGTTACATTTTCTTCAAAGATACTGCCTGATGAATGTATGGCATTTTTCATGTTAAAAAAGAGGCTAAAGATTGTATACATTGTCAAAAAAAAGAAAAACCTCTAATTTCCTCTTTTCTTTCTTTATCCAGTTACTTATGACATTCATTATGAAAGATCAGGAATATATTTTCTGAATGCTTTCAATATAAACGAGAAACTTGGTCTCAAACATTACCTTGGTACGCGTCACGCGAGTCACGCAAAACATCTATTTTTTATCTCTGCATTAAATGTAATTTGTTTTCAAACATTTGTTTGTACCTCGGTAAATGCTGGGCTGATACTCTACAATTTGATGTAGAATTAATCACAGTACTTATATTAACCCATCTAAAAAGATTGTTTTAAAAATGTCACGCGAGTCACGTTTTCCATTTGTCACGCGAGTCACGCATCAGCAACATGCCTTGTGTTCTTTTTTCATCCTTGCATAGGCTAAATGTATGCACCCAAGCATGCACAGGTACATAGACTTGCAGGTTCCCTCAAAATTTAAAGTGTATATGCACCCCTGCATTTTCAAATGGAATAGTCCTTCAGAAGGAACATTCCAGAAAGCATGACATGTGCTATGCACTACTTTTTGAAATCTCAATACACAATGAACCTCGTTGTTTTAAGTACAATGTATGTGTGCACTATGTACTGTCGCAAGGAACCCCAATTTAAACTTTAATGGACAGATGTTCTGCACTGCAAGTTTCGTTTACACTGAAGAGTAAGTATAAATATTATGAGTTTAATTTTGTATTAATAACATGTGTTTTTTTTTACAATAATAGAGATTTTAACAAGAAATTTTGACAAGTTG